TTTCGGCATAGAATCGCTCCAGCAAAGTGTTAAGCTGGATCTGCTTCCTAGGCAATTTCCTTCTCTAAACACCACTTTTTCCAAACCGAAAACCGAAAAGCCGTGCTTTTTACGGTGCTTTCGTTGTTAGAACTGCTTTTCAGCTATTGTTGTTGCGGTGGCGAAAGAAAACCTATTCAAAACGCCGGCCATTGTTTCGCTCGCAAATTTTCAGCGTAGCCAAATGTTGCGACATCCAAGGTTCGCATTTGATTGGCTATCTGTGAGTTTCCTTGATTATTGACCAATCAGAATGTCTGATTTGTTACTTTCTTTGCACAGAATTAACGCTCTTCTGCATTAAATTACCTGAAAATGCATTTATCTTAACCAATCAGAACTGAGTAATTTTTTTCATGTATATTATTGCCCCATAAATTTCAATTTTTGAGATATCAGCACAGCAATGTCTTAAATTTATGAAGTTAGGAAGGGGGTGGATGTATCATACACCAATTGGAGATTGACCATTGTGTTTGGGGAAAGTCAAACTTCTTCTTTAAAAACTTTCTTGGAAGAGTGTGTTTACCACTGGCCGATGAGATGAGGTCTGGGAAGGATCAAAGATCTAATTTACTTCATTTTGTTAAAAAAAAATAACTGATGCACGTGTGCTTTTCTATCACGAAATATTTGCAAGTGTGAAGATTTGCCTTCTAATCATCTTCTAGAATTTTAAGTCATAGCTATATGTACAAGTAGAATGTTGACAGAAAATATAAAATAGACACACGTTAGTCACCCTTCGTCACATGTAGGTGATATGAGGTATAGCCTGCTCTTCAAAGTCCATTTCTTTTCGATGTGTATTTTGTAGAACTATTGCATTTATTCATATCAATGATTGCCAATCTAATGCCAATACGAAACCTTTTGGAGGTACAGTTGTATACAGCCGAATAATAATAATAATAATAATAATAATAATAATAACTTTATTTATATAGCGCTCGTATCCACTGCTCAAGGCGCTATACAATCATACAAAATCATACATTATCAATAAAAATTTACAAATTTACAACCATATTCTACTATATGATACTTAAGCATAGCTAAAATTCATATTGATTAAAAAAGAAAAACAAAACTAAAGCCAGCCATATCTTATTATATGATATTTAAACATAGCTAAAATTGACAATGATTTAAAAAGAAAATTAAATCTAAAGTAATATATATAAATCTATAAAAATAATGGTCTGTTATTAATATATTTACTAAACAGGAACGTCTTAAGTGTTCCTTTAAAAATTGAGATGGTATTAGACTTCTGAAATTCCATAGAGTATTAAGTTCCATTCTCTTGGCGCATGGACAGTGAATGCTCTGTCTCCGTAGGTCTTAGTTTTGCATTAAAAGTTCATTACTAACAGACCTAGATGATCTAATGGGAGAACGATAATGTAGTTTCTGAGCTAGATAGCTAGGCGATGCCCTATTCAGTGATTTATACACTAGAAGCAGAATCTTGAAAATAATACAGTATTGGATCGGTAGCCAATGAAGCTCCGGCAAAACAGGTGTGATATGCTGAAACTTACTCGTTTGACACACAACTCTAGCCGCCGTGTTTTGTACATATTGCAATCCTTGTAACTGATACTTAGGCAAGCCATGTAATAATGCATTGCAATAGTCTAGTCACGCTGTGTCAAATGCGTGAACAGCAAATACTTCTGATTCTTTAGTGAGATACTTCCTAATTCTAGATAGGTTCGTGAGATGATAAAATGATGATCTAAGAGCCTCCTAGAAGAGGATCTTAAGCTAGGGTTGTAAAATTTCTGTTACATAGGAAGGTGCTAACCTATGTGACGCTTTGAAGGTTAACAGAAGCATCTTGTATTTGATACGGCTGTACACGGGAAGCCAGTGTAAATATAACTGTTGGAGAATTGGCGTGATATGATCATGTTTCCTGGAGCAAGTTACAGGGCGTGCAGCACAGTTTTGGACAGCTTGTAGACGATCAATCAGAGACTGAGGAAGGCCATAGAGTAATAAATTACAATTTTCTAATTTGGTGGAAATAGGAGCATGGGCTAAGATATCAGTTCTCTTGTTCAGTGTACCTTCGCTTATTCGCCTATTCGAGATCGCAATATATCTTTGGTTAGGTCTTGGAGATACAACAGAGTTTCAGTTTGCTTTTCGTGTAAAAATTCGTGGAATTGTATAATCGAGGTAACTAACTGTAGACAAATAATTTTGGTTTTCTCTCTGTTAAAGCGTAGTCTCTTCCGGAACCGTTATTATTTTGGTCTCGTCACGCAACGCGAACTAGCTCTCCAACGGGGAATAGAACAACGGCTGCGAAGGAGACAACGATAAGTGAGGCACCGATCCATTTTATTTCTGCTTACAAGTATTTAGGCAATGGATACAATAGACCATAAAATACCTGTATGAGTTCAGATAAATTAGGCTTTTCAAGGCTGTGCTCTAAGGAAAATTTCAGGGAGCCCTTCGGGCTCCCAAGCGTTTTAGCTTGGGTGCCCAGGCCTAAAAGATGGTCGCCCAAATCAAAATTTCGGGGAGCCCTTCGGGCTCCCAAACATTTTAGCTGAGGTGCCCGGGCCTCCTAGTTGGTCGCCCAAATTAATAAATCAGTCAGTTAATTATTAAAAATGCGTGATACGTAATAACTTGTCACGACACCAAGGACAATGCGGGACTTATAGAGTTTATACCCGTTTCTAAAACAATCACAAAAAAAAACGTATCTTTTCTTTTTTATACATCGTGTTTTACTGGAAAAACAATCTTAAGTTATGTTTTTGCCTCGCAGACACGGCAGTAAAAAGCCGGCTAAAATATTAAATTAGCATAGAAGAGCGACTCCCGTGTTTATTCAACGATTTATTAATCGCCGACCGTACTTTACGCCTATCAGAGCAGAAGTAACAACTTCTTTTGAAAAACTAGCTGATGAGCCATCCCAATTTAAAGGAAAAATTTTAATGCTATTGGAAAAGCCGTTAAAATCGAAAACTGTGCAGCTAGTCAAGTTCAAAGTCAAGGATTATGCTACATGTGAATTCACGTGGAACGACCTTTGAACATCAACGCGCGCCCGATGGAACAACATTTTCTTTTAAAAGAACCACTCCCGTGTTCATTTAGCGATTTATTAATCGTCGACCGTACTTTACGCCTGTCAGAGCAGAAGTAACAATTGCTTTTCAAAAACTAACTAACGAGCCATCCTAATTTAAAGGAAAAATTATAATACTATTTGGAAAAGCGGTTAAAATCGAAAACTGTGCAGCTTGTCACGATCAAAGTCGATGATTATGTTACACGTAAATTCACGTGGAACGACCTTTGAATATCAACGGGCGCCCGATTGAACAACATTTTCTTTTTTTTTTTGACTGTAAATCAAGAAACCAACACCAGCCAGTCGCCCGGCCGGGCGACCAAGAAAATATTTTCAGTCGCCCGAGGCCAAATGTTAGTCGTCTCAGGCGACCGGGCGCCGTTAGAGCACAGCCTTGCTTTTGTTTTCTTTCTCTTAAAGAGAAATAATGCGATATTTTCGTCCGTTTGAAAATTATGCTCTTTTTTTTTGTTACAAAAATGAAAACATTCCATCTCAACCCGCCCAGCCGAAAAAATTAACTCTTTCATGCTACGTACGCCTATGTTATTGTGATTTTTCTTTATCATAACACATAAAATTACCACCTGCTTACCAACCAGTCAGAGAAAGCATTTTATGCCTTCTCCCCATGTTATGCCAAGTGCAGGTGTTTTAACGCTAGGATTTTTTCTTGATAAGACGTGATTTAAAAAATCCCAACGGCTTGTCTCATCGAAAAGCTGACAACAAGATCTAAAGACATGACTTTACAAAATTTATTTCCGTTCTGTTCGACAAGTGGTGAAGCTGTTAAAAAGACTAATGAACAAATAACAATGAAAGCTGGACACGAGCTCCACGTACATAGATATGCTAAACAGTACAATCTAGAGCACGAAATTTATAAAGCATATTTATCAAGTAGTCGTAGCACAGGACGAAATCACATGTTTCCGTATTTCTGAAACGTGGCGGAAACATGCAACTCCATGTTTCCGTTATGTTTAACATGCACAAAAAGTGGTCCGGTTCCGTTGTATACGCAGCAACGGAAACGCGTGTTTCCAGACTTAACATGTTTCTGCCACGTTTCCGTTTACGGATTCTTGCAATTTCGTCCTGTGTAGCATGATTGAGAAGGCATGGAATTCTCAGAGATAGTCGCTCTCTAATATAGTTCTCAGGGTTAGTGAATCTTTCGCACATTTACTCGAGCTTGTCCCGAAATCATTATCATTAATAATTGATGATTTTTATCATTGATTAGTATTAGGAGACATCATAACATGAGTTCACCTTTGTGTCGCCACCGTAACGACTTTGCATCACATTTATCATATTATATGCTACCAACCACAACGTCATCTGTATCAGGTACTAGGTATCATCATCATCTCTACATGCAAAAACTATGTAGAGTATTTATCCCAAAAGCTTCAGTTTTATTTGTTTATTTTAGCCTACGATATAGGCCAAGGAAAATAATGAGATGTTTTCTTTTAAATGAAACAAATCAAAATAAAGCCGTTGCCGTGAGAACTACGCGTAGTGTTCGACAAGGTTTCGTTTGTAAACACCGGTTCTTTAACGTATTTTTTCTTCTACGTTGTTTTATTTTTTATTTATTTTTGGTTTTTGGTTTTTTATTTTTTTTTGTGCGTGTGTGCTATTCCTCGGAAATGGCTTCAAATGAAGTCCAATCACGTAGTAATTATCGGAAAACGTAAACAGGTGATTCAATCGAGTGAAAGGCTACAACTGGAACCTTGTTATATTTTGGCGCCGGTAAAGATTTCCTTATTCTTAGTTGTCACGGAACGAAGCAATGCGGCAATTCAACTGTTTAAATGAATATGGATCTGGATCACGTATGCTATCAATCTTTCTATTAAAGTAAAACACGACATCTTGTGGCTTAAAAAACATTGGAAAGTTTCCTATGTCACAAATAACCCCTGCAGGGATAGGCAGGGGATTATGCGTGGTCGGTAATTTATAATTCCCTCGAAACATCATCTCAGTGTCAGTTAACCGTTGGCAACCTGCGGTAGTGCTTCACACCTCAGAAGAAGACTTATTAGAGTCAGCTTAAGAAATAACGGACATTGCTTACCAGGTACGCACATACATTTTCCGAATCTTACCTAGAGAATAGCCAATTTAGAAAAAGTGAAAACAAGCTATGTCAGAAAAAGTAACAAAAACTCGCGCGCCCTCATATTGGTAGGTGATTATCATTCTTCCTGCAGAACGTTTTATATGCCCTGAAATTCGAAAAAAAAAAAAATTAACTACCTTGTGATTAAGATTCTTGACGGAAATTTCAATGCAAAAATCGCCGAACCTTCGTAACCTGCGAAGCAAAATTTCCTACCTATAGCTGTGGATATAGAGATCATTTGTGTATATAGATATTATTATGTGGATATAGAGATTAGAGCGTAACAAAAAGAGAGATTATTCCGTGGAAAGTGCGCTCGAACGATTATCATTCACGTTTTGCAATGCAACAAAAAACGAACGAGTGAGCGTAGCAGAAAGAGTAAGTTTTTCATTGCGTAATCAAGAGCAGTAAAGCCTGGTCTGCTGTTCAAACGTCCTGCTGTTCAAACAACGATATACCCCTGTGAGGAAAGACAGTTGCTTATCTGCTGAGTGGTTGTCCGTGGAATGATATAACTCCCTCAAGGAAAATTGATATTGCTCTCCCTCAACATCCTGTTAGTTTCATTTGGCCGTTGGCAACCTACTTTCGGCAATATGTAGTGCATCACACCTCAAAAAAGACTAAAAGGAGTCAGTTAAAGACACAACGTGTACTTTTAACCAGAAAGGGGAATCATGTTTCCGTTATTTTTTATAAAAATCTCATTTTTTTAAATGAGAAATAACAGCAGTATTTTCTTGTCACCGAAATTTTACAGAAATTTGGTTTTCCCTTGATTACCCAAGAGGAAATTTTCCCAAAAAAAATATTGGACAGGTTGATTATTATTGTTTTTTATCGATTGTTTTTGAAATTTTGGTGCTGTTAGTCTTAATGTTAATGTTTGTTGGCATTATTATTATTTTTATCATTATTATTTTTTTTTTGGACTTCACCAACCCTGCCATCCTCCTTTTAGATTTCAAACACTCCTCCCACTTAAATCAAACATTTTCCATATGAAAACAATTGCCTTCTTCTTCGCAGGTATAACAAATCTGATATGCTTCATATGGCTGGTCGACAAGTTTCATTTTTTACCGCGTTGTTATTCATTTCTCTCGTGTTCCGTGACATTGCCAGTCAGCAATGTCACGGAATATACTCGATTTATCGAATGATGCTTCAGGGCCATACCTATAAGACGTTCAAGACGACAACAGGTATGCTGGAATGCAGAGAGACTTGTCTCGCTGATGACAGATGTCAAAGCTTTAATGTCGTCATGGGCATTGCAATATGTGAGTTGAACAACCGGAATAAAGAGGCCAGACCAGAGGACTTTGTCAAGGACGAGAACAGATATTACATGGCAAAAGATTCAAACAGAGGTAATAGCACTTGCAAATATAAAACAGTAGGGTGTGCTTACGTTTATGGATTTTGCACCACTACCTACTGATTTTTCAAACTTTTACCCAGCTAAAGTGCAATATTTCAATTTCAGTTCCCCTGGGGTCAATCCGTGAGCTGCCTGCTGAATCGTGCGAGGAGATCAAGGCGAGTGAAGGAGGACAGGCAGTTAACGGTAATTATTGGCTGGATTCCACAAGATCTGGGAACTCTACTTTAGCTCGTTGCGACATGAATACAAAAGGTTAGTACAATAAATATTCCATGGCTATTTGTCTTCGTGTTAATCATAGGCCTTCTCTTAATCAGCCTTCTTTCTAAAGGTAGCCTTAACTGAAATTTTGAGGAAATTTAGGAAACTTTCTCTTTTCCATGATTAAGGATATGTCCTAAGACATACCGTTGGCCATAGATAATTCCAACGGCAAATTTTTGAGATATCGATACAACGGTGTCTTACACTTGTAAGTTCCTGAAATGGGTGAACGTACAATTCAGCAAGAGGTGACCATTGTGCTTGCTTGGTAAATGAATCAAAAGAGGGCCAAAAATGAAAGAATAACGCCCTTTTGCCTCACAACGTGAAGTTTGTAAACCATGTTTTTCAACCATTGCAGCTTGATCTGCGCTCAAAGTTCACACTATTCAAATCATATTGTTCTACATTGGGAAGCAAAGAAATAAATTTAGGTAAAGATAAGCCTTACTGTTGATTAATTTTACTTTTAACTAGAATGTGGGCCTGTTGGTGTGGCAGACAAAAATGCAATCTCAGATGCCAGAATGACAGCAAGCACAGTCTTTGATACAAGATTTTATCCATACTATGGCCGACTCCATGAAAACAGGGGATATGGAGGATGGTGTCCTAAGACTGTAACTGACAGAACAGACTATCTTCAAGTTGATATGGGTACAATGCTGTCTGTTTGTGCTGTGGCCACCCAAGGAGAAAAGATAAACCATGAAAGAACCACCAGCTATAAACTGCACCTATCCACAGACGGTGTAGCTTGGAACGCTTACAAGGAAACCAGCACTGCAAAGGTTTGATCGGCAACTATTAGTAATGATTAGAGGACCCCAAAGAGTCCAATTTAGTGAATTACAAAAGCAACTTACAAAATTACATCACTGCAAGCAAGTGTGTTATTTGTTGTAATTCACGAGTATGATTACTGACCGAACGGTGGGACAAAAGTCTTGTGACCAATCTGCCAAAACCATTGTTAAATTGAAGAAACAAAATAGCCATCAGAAAACGCATTCATAAATAACAGTTCCCATTATTTTTAAGGGCAGATGGACCCAATAGTCTGCTGATAACTGTCACGATTGCGAGATCTTTACCAACATGTAGAGTCAAACCAAATAGACCGCAATTGCCAATACCATGCTCTTTCTTAGTGATAAACTGAGGAGTGACGTTGAAAGAGTTAAATAGCGGAGTTGTTTCATTCCAGAGTTTTGAGCAGCTCTCAAGCTTGTATGTCTTTGACTACAAAGCTTTTGGATTTATCTTAAATTTTTTTATTGCGGCAAGATTTAAGAGAAGCGTTACAATTTTATCATAGATTATTCATAAAAAGGTCCCCGTCTTAAGCTACCTAGATACTTTATGTGCACCTTAACCTTTCAATAAAACATTTCTCGTAAGACTTGCATCATGTGTTGCCGAACTACACTATTTTCTCTTAATGAAGTATGCACTTTTCCTCTTCCAGGTTTTCCCAGGAAACTCAGACCAAAACACCGTCGTAAAGCATTTTCTCAATACCGACGTCATGGCCAGATACGTTCGGTTTTATCCTGTCACGTACCACAATTTTCCATGTTTGAGAGTTGAAATATTTGTGCGAAAATGATGGAATTTAAAATTTTCTTTCTTTTATGCACAAATTAAATGTAGATAATACTGTACAATGGGAACTTTTAATGCTCAAGCTAAGCCTATCAATATTTAGTTTGAATTGAGAAATAACGTGATCACCAACAAAATATGTTAGTCACAGTCTTGTTTCATTTAAATAAAAATGCAAAAGTTACTGTGATAAGAAAACTAACACCAAGACATAAAGCTCGACCCATATGAAACATCATTCTTAAATCAGGAAAAATGAATGAGTTATTAAGGAGATTAAACAATATTCGGCTACCCAAGTGAAATGACTTTTGAATATACCTTACCCTTCAGAACCCGCTAAACACGCTAATGCAACATGGAAGGACTAGATTACAAAGAAAGCTGCACTGATCAGGCTCTATGTGGCTTCACTTCAACGCACAGTCTCAATTCCGACCACGCTCGCGTAATTTGCATATTCGGCATAGCGTCTGTTTTCCAACGATAAGTAATTCTCCGCTATTATCACTTGTATTAATTGTTTTCCAAAAGTTTTCCTCTTCGAATCACTGCGACCACAAACTGGCTTGAATTTTACTAGAGTCATTTCGTTTTATTCGAGCAAAAATGAAGTTCCAAATGTTTGAAAATCATAGACTTCTATGGGTCTTGCCTTGTGGCTAATATAGCTGCAAGATTATCTACACTAATAAAGAATACCGTAGAGAGTCATATTCAGCGAACCGATCTGTCCTCCTTTCGCGTAAGGGACGAGTTGACAGACGGCTGACAATTTCTAAGTGTGTGAACGATGGCTCTCCTGAAAGGCAAAATTAGTTTTTATCGCGCTGTGAAGGAGAAGTCAACTGAAACGTATATGGCAATAACAAAGATGAGAGAAGAACACTGCTCCATTTCAGCATTTAATTTTCACCTCCAACTCTACCACATTGTAAGAGTCAGCTTGATCTGAAATTAGCTTTGTTGTTCGGCTCTGCTAGTGAAAGTGAGCGAGCGAAAGTGTTTTATAACGTAGCCGGAAGTTTACTTAAACCTTTTTAAATTAACTGTAATTAAATTCTATCATTTCTGCTAAGGATAACGGATAGAAGTTATCGTTTGCCCTAAAATAGCCAAAATTTTTAACCATTAACCATACAAGCCATTACCCCACTGAAACCCACTCAAAGTGGCAGGTGTTTTAAGATGTGCAATAACAGGAACTTTCGAAAAAAAAAATATTTTCCAAAAGTTATTATTATTTGAAAACTGACGCCAAGATATGAAGCTTGGACCGTGTTCTGAAATACCACTCTTAAATCATGAAAAATGAATGAGTTTCATTTAGGAGATTAAACAATATTTGGCTACCTAAGTGAAATGACTTTCGAAAATACTTTATCCTCAAGAACCTGCTAAACATGCATCATAGAAGGACTAGATTTAAAACAAAGCTGCATCAGGCTCTTTGTGGCTTCACTCCAACACACCGTACCTCTACATAGTCTCAATTCCGACTACATTCACGTAATTTGCATATTTTAGCTTAACGACTGTTTTCCAACGCTTCGTTATGCGCTTTAATTGTTTTCCGAGGGTCTCCCTCTGAAACACTGCGACCACACACTGGCTCGACTTTCTGATCGAGAAAAAAAGAAGTTGCAAAGGGAGATGAGTCAAGAAATTAATTATAATAAAGTAAACAACTAGAAAATACTGCCAAATAGTAGAAAATTGATGAAATTTCAATAAAAAGAATATCCTAACATGTGCCAAGCTTTGAGTTGCAATTAAAACGACTCTCGATAACATTTAGCTCCAAAGAAGCCACCGAAACACGAAACAAATGAAATGGTAGTGACTAATGCAGAGTACGAAACTACCACGTAACCTGCACTTGGTTCCAAACATTTAAAAATTGTGCACAGCTGATGGGGTTAGCCGTTAAATTTAGTGGTTAGTCGTTAATATCACACGCGCACACACACACACATATAAAAATTAAATATTGTAACAATTTGGAGATCTACGACGTGTCAATGTTTCAAAATCATAGACTTCTAAGGGTTTTGTCTTGTGGCTGATGTGGTTTCAAGGTTAGACCAGTATGGAAAACAAAGACATGGAAGGCTCAGGTCCCACAGAATCGTATTCCGCGAACCGATACTGGCCTCCTTTCGTGTGGGGGACGAGTTGACCGGTGGCTGTATATTTGTAGGATCTTAAGTGTCTTCATTCAGAGTGTGGGCGATGGCTCTCATGAAAGGGAAATAATTAATATCGGAAAACACC